ATTTTTGTCGCCATTTTCGAGATTGTTGATACAATGTTCGGCACGAGATGCCATTGACATCGCATGTTGGCGTCTTGGTTGTTACCATAATGATATAATGATGCAATATTACGCGCTATAGGAATCGATCGTTTGCCAGATGTAATTACAGACCGATGCATTATCAGATGCACACGCAAGATATGATTATTATCGCATTCTCCCTGCCGCAGGTGTGCACACGGACAAATGTGCAAAGCGTGTCGATAATAGCTGCTCTACAATAGATACACATCCAGGGGCTACAGAATATACAGACATGCGGGTGAATAAACGTAGAATTTTTTTTCAGCAATTTAATTATATTCAACATTTCCTTTTTCATTGTCACCTTTATTGAATCTTTTTACGAAAAGTAAACTGCCAGCTAGAGGAAAGTCCCCTACTACGAGACTTCTAATATGAGATAGTAGGCTTTCAACATCCAAATTCAATGACAAATCTTTTTTCGCAACGTTTACACGATCCAACAATGAATTTTCCACTGAACGCATTTCACTCCAAGGACAATATATTCATGGTAGAACCAACAGACGATGCCTATTAATTTAGCAGAAACCCTGCTATCTCATGTTAGGAACTTGTCTCATATAATAGGAGACTTTCCTCTATATGTATTTACGATTTATGTTATTAATGTTGAATACGATTATTTAATTTTCTTACCACTTTAAGAATATAGAAAGCAAAAAATAGTTTCTGTGAGTCAGGGTTCTTCATTAATTTTTGTTAACAACGGATGCTATCATTAGCACAACTATACAACTCGATCTATACATTTCATTGACATTAAATTCTAATTGAATCAATGCGCAACGTTATTCCGTGTCAGTCAACAAGTCAATCGCACGAGATTCGTGTCCTACGTCGGGTATAAACCACAATACCGCGAGAATACAGGCCATTGTCGGAGAGCGCGATATTTGTTTTTCCGAAGCCGATGCCGCAGGGAAATGAGAAACGATCGTTTGCAATGCATTATCGCGTTAAAAGCAAGTTGTTAATGTCGTGCGCCAAGTTGTTATAATTGGCCTGCATGTATGAGCTAGTTGCAGAATTCTTTTTATAAAAACCAGGCGTAATTGCGTAATTCCATATTGTACATACAAGGCAGGTGCACACCTCCAAAGCCAATTGTTTGTTCGCCTTTGCCTCCGGCATGAGGGTATGCGTGGTTCTAGCATTAATTCGTAAAGTATTCGTCAATAATTAAATCTGTTTCAAGACCTCGTTATGCCACCTGTCCCTAAAAATAAATTGGGTTGTTTGTTACATTTATTTTTTATTACGTAAAATATCTGATATATTACAATAAAATAGATGTGTTATTTAAATTGTTATCTCTTTCTCGTGAAATATGTGAAATGTGATTTTTATTTAATTTAACGCGCAGTATGTAAATATTAGTGAGACGAGAGAATGAAATAATACATAGTAAGCGAGGGATCAGATCTTTTTCAATGACGTCACGCTCACATTTCGCCGATCTGTTCAGAAGTGGCTATTCTGCCATCGAGCTTTTCTGGACCGATGTTTCTCGACTGTAAATAGAATGCTCGTAAAAGCTAGAGCATTCAATTGCTATCTCTGCTTATATGCAGGTCTTCTGATTTCCTAAGCTCTCGATATTCATTTCAGAAATGTATCAGCGTTGCCGATAATCTTTTATAAATTGAATTTAGGTTGTAACATGTAGGTTTTTCTAGCCTATGCGTTCTATTAACAACGATAACAAAATGACCAATTAAGATTAACTACAAAATAATAAATTTCTAAATAACAAACAATAAATATTGCACATGAATAAATAAGATATATCTTGCGCTTACTCGAGATGCGCAATATTACTTAGAGAATATTTTTGTTACTCATGGCGTGAATTCGCGGGTTAGCCGAACTTCGTCCAGACGCAATTGGCGAGGTTCGACATAAAACGCGAATCACCAACGTTTCGGTACAGAAAACATATTTTAGGAGAAGCTGCTCCAGCAAAACGTGGTATCTCAACTCCCTCTTTACGATCGAACTTTGACGCGTGCGGCAAAGGAAGTTTTATTTATTCTATGGCATGGCACGAAGCGATAATTCCTTCGATATTTTCCTCGACGCTCCGTTTCACACTTTCTCTGCATTCTATACCAACAATCCGCTTCGAATAATCCGAATAATTTCTTAAGTCGAAAATAGCCACGAATTTTCTCATCTGCTTTTGACGGCATATGATTTCAAATATCTATCAATTGCAGTACGAACATTTTTGGTAACAAGTCTTGTGCTCTTTTCCTTTATATGCAATAGAGCTGCAATCTTTTTTTATTATTTATTTTTATTAAAAATGTCTTATTTAAAAAATATTATTTAGCAGACTTGCTTATATGTGCTTGTGATGATTCGTTGAGAATATTATTATACTAATAGCTAACATGATTATCAATATTTCTCACTAGTGAGAACGCTGTTGAAGCTTCTCTCTTCTTCTCTCCCCTCTCCCCCCCTCTCTCTCTTGACAATATCGATATGGAATAATAACTCTATGTTTTTCATGTTTTTTCTCAGTCTAATATTTCTCGATAATATAAAATTAGATAGTTCTTCATTCTAGTTTTTATGGTACTTCATTTCTTGCGGTATGTCAGTCAGTGAAGATCTGCCAACATCCGTTAGTTACGACCGAGACGTAAAAAGAGTTTCAGTGTAATTTTAATCGGGGAACGTTCGGACGATAGCAAGAACTTTCTGCGAGAAGACGAGACGTTTCCTGCTATCTCCGAATCGTCGATTGCACTTTTGCTCCTTTCATTATGTCTCGTCTTCACGGTGCATTTCCCTATTTTTTTATAATTTCGGCAAATGTTATTCTCTCTTTAGTCGAGATGAACAATTAATTTACATATCAAAATAACCAATTTGCAAGAATTAGATTCTACTATACATAGTTAGGTCACCCATTATTATCTTATTCTAATTCAAATTTATTCCTTGCAGAGAGAGAAGCTTGATGAGTGGTTGTAAGATGATAACTAGATACATGGGTTGTCACAAAAACAATTATAACAATATTAATTTTCAATTACTGATAAAATATCCGTTTTAGTTAACGGATTGAGTAATAGAAATTAAATTGTCATATTTGTATTAATCACGTAACTCTTAGAAGACCCTTACGTGTTTATATAACTTAGATTCTAATCAGAATTTTTTAGATCGTATTTAGAAATAAAAAGAGTTGCTCTTTCCGAAAATCTATTCGATGATGGGATATCTGAAAAATGATACAAGTTGAAAGTGGAGATAAAAAAATAAGTAACCCCTGCATTTTCACTGACAAATATTCAGCTAATATATAATATAATTTTGTTTACTTTGAGTGGAATAAATCGTGGAAAAAATTCGATCTAAAAGATAAATAAAAGATACAATTATTAATTAATTATTATAAATATCTGTTAGTTAAAAATTGGAAATTATTAATTTTTGTCTTAATTTTCTTTTTTTTGTAGATATTCCACTCTTGTTGGTTAGATTCTTTAAAAAGAGCAACTGTTTTTTTCTCTGAATGACCGGTTGCAATCTAAATTTTTTTATTAGGACCCGAGTTACAAGAATTTGAAAGTATGTAAGGACCTGCCCTAAAGGACTTAATGGATTAATATAACTTGCACACTTGAACATTTGGACTTATCGATTTTCATGGAATTAACAGATTTTCGAAATAGTTTATAATTTTACATGTTAAACTTGTAATATTACTCAAACACTGATTGTACAGCTGAGCACTTTTGTTACTTCATGTAAAATCTCTGCTGTAACATTTGTTCACTTGCAGCCGCAAATTTATGCTTTTGAATAAAAGATGAATTGCGGTCTAATATTTCAAACAACGCAAATTGTGACTATTAATTTAATGTTGGTGAATTTAATTCCGTTATAATTTTTAGCTCGTTTTGGTGAAATAATTATGATTTTAATTAAAGTAAACTATAGTTTTTTATTTTCCTGGTTTTAGTTCTTACATTAGTGTTTTTTTATCCTGAAGGTATTTCAAAGTAATTTTTTAAATATACATATACACATTCAATTAAATACATAGTGAATTATAATGATGTAACATCTTATATAACAATATTTAATATTTTAAATTACAAACTTAATTTTACTTTATAAATAGTGCACTTTTCATTCTTAAAATTTATCTTTAAAATGTTTGTATTTTTATTAGCATTCGATATTACAATAATATCGAATTTTATTAGTCTTCGATATTACAGTACACGATATTAAAATAATTTAGCAAAACAATTTTAACGAAGTTTAAACGTAAATGAAAAGCACGAGAAATTGGAAAAAATAGGAGAAAAAGTTGTGACTATATATTTGTATTTTTAAATATTTGCTTTAGACAAAACTTAATTATGCAGCAAAAATGTTGAACATTGCATAAAGTAAAAGAAAATATTACTTATGTAGTATTAGTGTACGAATATTCGTACAGTTGTACAATCTATGTAAAATCTAACGATGCAGTCTGTCGCGCGTTTTTAACATTGCGAGCGGATTTATTGCCGTGTCCGAGGATTTCTTCCCCGAGGACGATTCCCCTTCTGGGGCTTATCCTAGTGGAATGTCGTTTTACTTTCTGCGTATTTCTCCTCGACGACTTTTATGTTGCCTCGTTGCAACGAAGTGTGACAAAAACCAGATACATGCAACCACAGAAAGAATAAACAAGAGATATTATTAAACATTATGTCGATTTGCACGATTAACGTGAGTACATAAAGCACGATGACATGGTTATATGAGGCGAAGTTGTAAATTAGATATCATGATATGACGATGTCGCAAGATATCAACATGTTGCTTTAACAGGCTGATTATATTAATTTATCGTTGTGCTTAGGAATTACGGACTCACCATCTTACACGAGAAATTCAATTAAATGTAGAGTGGAATAATTTTCTGTCCGAGTAACGTTTTTCTCTCTTTTATTTTTAGAAATATTACATAATTCTTTTCAGTACTTCTTACACCTTACGTTAATAAGGAAATATCTAAATGCTGATTTCGTATCTGAAGTCACTTTGTGCATTTCATGTGTATATTTTTAACTGATATAACTGATAAATAAAAATTGACTAGCAATGTCTCGGCATACAAGAGAAATACATATTAAATAATGAATAAAGTAGTAAGTCGTATTTTATTATCATTTTTAACTGAGCATCGAATATATAAAAGCATATGAAAAATCAGTATATTTTTATTATGTGAAAAAGCACCTATATGAAAAAACAGCATATTTTTAGAAATAATGATAACGCATTAACATATGCTTGCGTGCGTATGAGAAACATTGGGAAATAAAAATTAACATATTCATCACGTGACAAAAACATTTTTGGCCGATTCTTAGCGCGAGTAAATAAGAACTTTTTTTTAAAATGTATGTATGTGTTATGTGATACGTTTTTAGAATTTTTAGAACATTGTTGTTTGACGGTCAGTTTTTATAATGTAATTATTTAAATTTTACTTCAGCAACACGAAATGAAGTAAATGCAGAGTAAAGAGAAATATTTTTTAGATACGGGATAAAGCGTACGGAATTCGTACACGACAGGACATCGGTATATCCATATCATCCTGCCAGCGATATGACTGTAAAGCTTGTAAAAATCCTAAAAACAAGTCGTTAAGGTCTGGATATCTGGAATCATAAAGACCGTTTGGAACTTTTCCAAGCAATGTCCCCACTAGTTTCTTATAATGCTCGTCGGCCATTAATTGCTCAGTCAGAGTCGCTTGCAAATTCCGATGATTCTGATGAACTGGCGATCGATTATCGAAAGATCTTTTGATCTCGCTGGGCCTTGACCCTCTTTTCTTAGTGAAGCGTTCGGTTTCGTGTCCTCGGCGCATCGAGATGTCCTCGAAATATTCTTTTGGAGGTGATGCGACGCTCATACCCCATTGACCAAACAAATGGTGCTTTCCATCTTTCTCGATTTGCTCCTCATTTTTCCGATGCATCGATCGTCGAGACATATCTTTTAGAAATTCTGCAGGCGGCGATGAGGCGCTCATGCCCCATCTACCAGAATGAAACGATCTTTCGTGACTCAGTTTCTCCGTCATATCCTTCTTTCCTGCATCATGTTTCTCCTCCTTGCTCTTCCACATCAACGATCTCGCAGCTATGATCGTCTCGTCCTTCTTATTATCCTCACTGTTTTCTTCGTTGTTATTTTGAGAGGAACTAAATTGACCGGGAGATTTCTTTATAGGAAGTTTGAAATCGATCTTACGATTTGAATTCTTACTAGTTTCAGCAAATTTTTTGAAACTTTTATTTGTAGGACTTTTAGGAATATTTGGAGTCTTCAATTGGAAGATCAGCTCTTTGGAAGGCAAATTTGCATGATTGTTGTTCTTGCTCTTTCGTTTCAACAAATTCGCCGTTTTATCTTCATCTGTTTTATTGTTGTTTTCTTTTTTGTTATTTCGGGGGAAATTAAACTTTAAATATTTTTTCATGGGAGATTCTTTGAAACCATTCGTATGATTTAAGTTTTTGTTGTTCTCTGAAGATTTCGTTAAATTTGTATGCATACTCGTACTATTTTTAAGAATATGTAAATCTTTGAATTGTTGTGAGATTGAGTGTTCAGGATGCGAATTTATTACGGAACCGAGACGGTCTTTTTTAAGTTCGCGCTTCTCGTAATCGATATCTGCATTCTGTTTGATGACTGGATCTTCCTTTATTTCGTAGTCCTTGTGTCGTTGATGAGTCGTCGTGATAGGTGCCTTTCGAAGAAATTTTTCAGATGAATTTTTTATACTTCTTCTCCATTCATCGCTTTTGACTTTTTTAGATGCTCCATCAACATTTGTACCCGCGTGTTGTTTTGAGTTTCCCCAAGAAGAGTGAAATCGATTGCCAGAAGAAACATTTTTCATACCCGTGTTGTCTTCAGTCGCTGATAGATGCTGCACAAGCGGTTTCAGAGTGGCAGGATCAAGCTATTGCACAGTAATAATAAAAAGTCATATAAAAATTTACAAATTAACATATTCAAGATTTTTCCGCATTTTCTTTTACGTTTGTTTGAATCTTGTTATAAAATTTACAAAAAGGGTGCTTTTATTCTAAAATGTCTTAAGTAACGATATTTAAGTTATCTCAAATAAAGAATGTCTATTTCATATAGACAAATTTATGAATATACACATATCATATGTTTTGAATATTAATTGACATTAGTAATTTTATTAAGTAATAAATGATTTTCTTAAATTGACTTTAAAACTGCTTTAACAATTTTAATCTGTTTTCAATTGTCAACAACATGCAATCGATTTTACGTCAAAATATTTGTTATTGACTTTAATGTTACATGACTTACTTCCATATTTGTTTTCAACGATTCGCTTTCTTCAAGTAACTGTATAGGAAGTTTCAATCCTTCCTTTACATTTTCGTGGTGTTGCTCGTTTTTTAAAAGTATTGGTATCTGTAATAAACACTATCATTGCTAGAAGCGTATTGTATTAAAATTTATAACGTATTAAATAATATTGCTTTATCCTACAGTTATAAGAAATATAAAAAAATAATTTAATAATGATTTTTTTTGGAGACTCTGTACCAAAATATAACAGCATGAAAAACGTAAGTTAATTTAACATTTCTCCCCAAAAAGAGTAATTTCTATGTGTCCTCACTGTGATCGATTCGTAGTTCGCAAGTTTTCCTGCTTTCGTAGTTTCTTCGACATTGTCGAGGGTAAGTTTCACGTTTCTTCTGTACGCTGCCCATTTTTCTCTCTCCTGTCGGCTTATCTCCTGCATTTTCTTTATCCACGGATCCGCCATCCTTTGTTCCGAATCCTCGGGTTTTGTAAATTCCATCCCCAGGTTTCTCTCCGTCAATTCTTTCCTGTTAAACCGGTTGAGTATTGCTTTTTTTGCAATAATTTGTTTTACGAATTGTACCGTTTAAAAACTTATTTATTCGTAATTGTTCGTGAAATACATATCAACTTTTGACATTCTTTATGTAGAATAAGTATAGAATGTTTTAAACCATTTGCGTCATTATTGACTTGGTCAAAATGTAAGACATTTGACATAACAGAAATGAAAACGGAAACTTTATGAACATCCTGTGTTATCAACGCAGTGACTGACTGCGGTTTACCGAAATACCTCGGGCCATAGTACTTGTCAGGCGGTTTCCAGTTGTAATTCGGTAACCGCTGAATGTTGTTCCTGTGCCTCGAAACCGCAGGGTTCTTCTCGAACTGTCTTGAGTCGGTGTAATCTGCAAACAAGACTGACGTTGGATACTTGATCCTTAAAGACGAGACTTAATCGCCACTTAGTTACATTTCGAACGTATAATGTGAAATAAGCCAAAGTACTTGAAGTTGAGGGTCCTTGTCAAAAGGGCACTTGATGTCTTTTGCCATGCGTTATCTCCTGATTATCTTGTTTGTTAAACTTAGAGATATATTACTTTTATATTCCAAATTGTTGTGAAGGCTCCCGAAAAGAAAAATATAAAGGAAGGAGAGAATGTGTGCCAATGTGAGCCACAAAATGAACAGACCTCAGTTCTCACAATATAATTCCTCAATTTCTATTTAATATAGGTTTCGACCCTTCTTCGGGTCTTCTTCAGTAACTCGTACAATCGAAAATATAGATCGGCACAGCATCGAAGTCAATCCTCTAATTTTGTCAATCAGTAAATCTCTAAATGATGCCCGACATAAAGACAGTCATTTTAACATCGTCGTCACGGACTCATCCCTGGTCGAGTTAATCAGTCCTCTTTATGTCGGGCATCATTTAGAGATTTACTGATTGACAAAATTAGAGGATTGACTTCGATGCTGTGCCGATCTATATTTTCGATTGTACGAGTTACTGAAGAAGACCCGAAGAAGGGTCGAAACGTATATTAAATAGAAATTGAGGAATTATATTGTGAGAACTGAGGTCTGTTCATTTTGTGGCTCACATTGGCATTCTCTCCTTCCTTTATATATTACTTTTATGTTAAACGGTTATCATAGTTCTTCTTAATGGGTTAATGAACAGATGAATTAGTTGACTCGCAACAGCAATTGCATTTTCCCTTTGTAATTTGTCTAACCATCTAACACTTATTATCGTTTAAATATTTATTCATTATATTTTCTTTAGTTGTATTTCTTAGCACTAAGGACGATCCGGAGTGGCTCGAAACGTTTGTATTTTACACTCTATTATTAAATTGTCCATGACTATTTTAAAGACTACGTCTTATTACCTGCGTACGGCTCGCATTGGCCTTTCCAACCCTCCACTGGTTTTTAAAATATTTATCCATTTTTTTTGGTGAAACCATTTCCTTTGTGCTAGATCTATCATTTATTATTTCTTCTGTCCAACATTCTGCAAAGTTTACTTCAACTGTCTATTATCAATTCGACTTTTCAAAATATAAATGATCCGTTGCGATATCTCTCGGTTGTTTAAAAATCTTGTTGACGGCAATATACAATAGAAAGATCGTTTGCACAGTAAAGCGTGATGGTGATAAATGTGTGAAAAGGGATCAATTTCGCGTAACGCGTATTAGCTCGTAAACGTACAATGAAACTAGTCGTTTTGGCGACATGGTCTAGCTGAAGTTGTGCGCTCTTGGCCACAGTCGGTTACAGTTTAACGATATTTAATTGTCAACGAGGTACGGACAGTAATTGAAAAGATAAAAGCGTAGTAAAGCGTTACGGGAGCCATAGTCGTTTCTCGCGTGGAGTTCATTTACCGGTATTTACTTTTGATTCGTCAACCGCCAGACATCCATACATGCATCGTACACGCGCTTGCGGATACGTGTGCATGTCACCATGGCCATTCGCTGTCGTTTTCTTTGTTTGTACGTTTAGCTTTGCGGGGAAACTTTTTAGCAATCAAGTCACTTTGAAATAAAATAAAAATTATCTTCGGATAATAGACTTTAGTTAAATTCTATATTCGAAAAAAAACCAAGAGACTGCGTTAGCGCAGTATTAGGATACTGAAGACGCATGATTTGTTTGTTATTGATATTATATTTTAAGAGGGTATTGAAAATTGAGAAATATAGATAGAATTGATAAAAACATGATTAATAACTTTTGAATATAATTTAAACAAAAAGTGAGTATTATAACATATCGAATGTGAATATAAATGTGATGAACATATTTTACGTACTAAAATAACTTTTGATAGTCAATGAAACATAATTTATTAGTATATTAACAGAGGAAATATTTTTCGATTATTTTCAAAGAGATGCGCTACAAAAATTCACGATGTGCAATGTATTAGTGCGATTTCGGGGTAAATTAAGAACAGAAAAGAAATTTTGACTGACATTAACTCGCCAATGGGTAGCACTTTTAGCAGAATTTAATTTATTTTGTGACGCACAGGATGCTTCGCTACTGACCATGGAATTAGATTTTGGGTGCGCCAGCTTTTGTTGGGGAAAAAGCAACTTTACCCTTTGACGCTGGAGTACGACACTGGAGTAAACTGTAATCTACGAAGTTAGCACCGTATTTTGAGCGGATCGATATAACGAGTTGAAAGTATCCGACAGCCTTTATCGCTGCACGGAGATTGCATTCGGCCACGACTTTTATGCGAAACGCCCCGCGACTTTAGCCGACGCGTTACGATCGCGATACGATCCGCGCCGGAAATAGAAAATCGATGCTAACCATTTCGAACGGATTCAAGTTTATCTGCGAGATTGACGTCAGAGCTTAACCTAATTGTTCGAAAAGATGTTTGCTGCGAACCGGTGAATATCAAATAAATGAGCCCTTTTTATCTCGTGACAAAATTACGAGGTAGACTAATAGTCGTAAGATTCTTATTCGTATCTTACATTCTAATGTGCGCTAATATAATTATCTAATTCCGACTTTTATTTGTTTCTCTTGCGACAATCACGTCTATTTTAATTTATTTCAGCACCATTGATCAATTTGGAGTCAGCTTTTTCTAGGGAAAATTCGATGACGTATTATCTTTTTTACCATTGTCTAAGATTGAATTTTAAATATTCCCCGTAACTATAATCCTCATATGAAAGTGTTATTACGTTCGGTTGAAATCGAATGAAATGATAAGACTTTGTTGTTTGTGTGATTAAATTTTATATCTAATTTTGGAATTCTAGAGAGCTCTAAAATTAAAACATTAGTTCTAATACACAGATATACCAGTAACACGGATACACTGAAAGAATTAAAGTAATTTATTTACGTAATAGAATTTTTTAACGACCTAATCTGTAGTAATCCTGCGGAAGCTAAAATAGAGTAAGAAAATTTAAGTAAGCATTTGAAGAGAGAGAGCGCAAACTCGAAGATATATTTAACTCACAGCACATTTGCTGCGGTGTCCGAGAGAACGGAATAAAGTGCAAACACGCGTTTACAATTTACCATTCAACCAACACGTTTCCTGATAATTACTCGTGTCTGCGAACAATCTGATCGAGATACCAGTCTGAAAATGGTGATTTTCATCGGATTCCGACGCGATGAGATAAGAGTAAAATCAAATTATTACAAACCGGATAATCAGTGTAATCTCGATAGCGTACCGATCGATATTCTCAGCCGTATCAAATGCGATTCGTCTCGTAACAGTGGTGTAAAAAGACAATGAAAAGAGATCATAGGAATCTCGCCGCAAAAAGCGAGAGAAACGCCAGTCTCCTCCGATCTTTTTCTTTCAGAATCACAATCGTCGGTCGATCCGCTGAGGCGGATAGAGATAAGAATTCCGCGTTACGCCAGTTATAGGAATCGATTTTTGTCTTTTTTTTTATTTGACTTGTCGTATCTTGCGTCGTAAATTATGGCGTAGCAACGACTACGGTCACTACACTAGATTGTAGTATAGTACTTTCTTAAGTTCTTTCTGTATTTACATTTGCACATTTACAATGCATTAACTTTATCCAAAATCACGCGGTTGCGTTATTCAAGTGCGCAATTACTTAAACTAGATTGCTTTCTAAAAATTTGTCAAAATAAGACTATAATAGCATAAAATTGCTGACAAACTTCTAATAGCTTTGAGTGATTTGTTTATATTTCGGAAAAAATTAAAATCATTGTTTTTAAATCACAAATTAAAAAATTTAGTAAACGTTTTAAAAGTTACCCTTATACATGTAATTAAGAAATTCGTGCTACTCTTCAAAAGGTCAAATAAAATATCTTACTACTAGTATCAATACTGTTGTCGACTGTGTACCTCTATCGCTCTTTTTATTAAGTGAGGTAATAAACGTAGCTTGTTGTTGGATTTCAAAATTGTCGTGTAAAATAAAGAGTTAGTTGCTTACCAGACGAATTCGAGGCATGAATGAGTGGCGACAGAAAGCAGAAGACAAATGTCACAGGCACGAACAGGTGGTTACTATGGCTGCTGGCCATTTTGTCCGGCAGCATATGATATACACATCATGTATGTACATATACTGACCGATCGAAATAGTGGGGATTGATTTATTATCCATCAACGAACCCCGTTGTAGCAATTCTCTTCACTCATAATCATCCTAGCACTCGTCGAAGAGGAATCGGTATGTGTCGATTAGTCGCGATATCTTTTCAATGGAATATCGTGAGACCACGAAGAATTGAACTACAAACATCAGTGTAACAACTGTTCGATCAGTAAAAATAATCGTATTCTTGAGCAGATGCTATTTTTGTATAAAATAACAGAAATAGGTAAGTAATAGAAATTTCTAAAGCTTGGTTATATATTCGTAACTTTATTTAGCAAATCTGTCTTTTATTAAGAATATAATTATGTCTTGTACGTTAAACGATTGTGTGTCGAATGGCTTTTATTCGATTTTATAAAGGAGATATTTATTTTCGTTTACTAGAGTGAGTCACGTACGTTATCGATCGTAGTATTCATATCAATGCAAAACCAATACGATCTTACAAATGGCACGGAAAATCGAGAGTGCCGTGTCCGATTTCGACACGCGCATTGCCTGATCGCATTTTGTTCGTCTTAATAAACTATGCAAGCGAATAAAGCAGTGCACATGTTCGTGACCGATTAATCTTTATTGTTGTTCGCTTGTTTAAGCGAGACACTTCGTGAATCTATATTACCTATTTTTACAGATACCTAATCGAGATCAGGATTAGGCGTTTACACCAAATAAATTACAATAAAGTTTAAATATACGTATAATATATGTATAAGCTGTGCCAGTTAACATGTTATTTATATGTAAATTTATATGTAAACAATACGTAATATATGGATTATCAAATTCATTCGAAACTTCATATTTTTAATCAGAAATATCAGAAATGTATATTTATTATTTTTAGTTTGTGTTATTTTTAGTTTACTAGTTTGGGTGCAATTTAGAATAGCACAAACATTAAAACCGGTTGTAAATATTTTGATTTTATACCTGTAACATATATAATGTAAATTTGAAATATTATTATTTACTTTTTAAATTTTAATATTAAAAAAATATTTTTAATATCAATACAACATCCATAACAACCTGCATAGAAGTAATTTTAAAATTTACGGCATAATCTGATCGAGACATCTATGGATCGGTGTATACGATGCGGATATACATATGTATATAAATCATTTCTATTTTTTTTCTTTTATCAATACAGCTCGCTGTAATATTTGAGAGCTAACAATAAAATATGACATGACAGTGGAAACTAACCGGTTGAGACAGGTAACACAATATCATGTATGAGTTTGTCAATTTTTGAACGCAATTTTTATTTAAATTATATTTGTATTGTAAAAGTATCGCAGTATTATTATTCACCAATTAATGAAAGTTCATATTTTTACTATAGTATTAGAAAGGAAGTAAATTAATTTTATTTTTCTTTTGTATATAAATGAGATAATGTTTGAAATGATCATCTATTAAAAGATTTATACATCAAACGAGAATGCAAAAATATAAATTTTCTCTTATTGTTTTTTATAGTAAGCCAGTTATTACACTTCTTCAATCAATTACGTAGTGCAGTTGCTGGTACAACTATTATACATGTATACTCGTATTGATAGACATCAAGAACGACGTTTCTTAAATTTGATTTCCTCTTATTAAGTCCTTGGATCATAAATACTTTTTAACATAAGCATATATTTATCCCTTGTTCGATTCAACTAACACATTTTGAATATCGTTCAGATGCCAATACATTTCTCGATCTTTCCCTGTTACGTTTTAACCTAATCAGGATACGTATTATTTCTGGAACACATTCCGATAAGAATTGTTCGATTACTTCCTACATTTCTATTGTGTTTTCTAGAGAAAATGGAATTATTTTAATCGGAATCCATTTCGATTATTTCCATGATAGATGCCCTATTTATCCACAATTACATCAAAATTAAAATTTTTATATCAAAAGACAAGCGTTTCAAGCGAATATCACGACATCATTAACAGCAGTAGCTGACTACGCGCTTTTTCGTTGATGGTCGTACAAAAACAAAAATCTAACGTCACTCTACATATGTACTAACTGAATTTCTGACAACTACTCGAACGAAGTAGAATCAAAATGATAATAAATATTTTACATATTTCTCTCTCTTATATTTGTTCAAACCTTTATTTCTGTCTTTTACTCTCAAACTCTAATTCTGAATTTTTTATTTTATAATTAACATTACCCACGTTTTTCCTAATATCGATCTGGCTTGTCAGTGATATAATTTAGAAATACCTTTAGTGTCTTATCTTATGGTTGAAATACGGTTGATACGATTATTTTCTCTCGAAATATCTTCTACGTAAAAATGCGGAAAATCTGTAAAGCTATGAATCTTCTTACAATTTGATCTTCCCTTTCAAAATAATCTGAAGAAATCTCTTCATATTCTTCAGAAAGACTTTATGATTCCTTCGAAATCACATTTGGCATGGAATAAAATTTCCTTCTCTCTGGTTTTTCTAGAAATTTTAATGAACGTATATTTGATTTTGTGAGTAATCATTTTCTCTTTGGCCCCTTCTCTCTCTCTCTCTCTCTCTCTCTTTCTCTTTCGACGTCCCAACTAGATTTTCTTTTTTTACTTTTACTCGTGAAAGTGACTTTGTTTTCTTTTAAACCAACATTAGAAATTTTTAAGTCCGCACAATCACAATCATTCATATTATAAATTATATTGATATTATTCTCTTTTCGTTTGACGTTTGAATCTAATGAATCCTCAAATGAGGAAACCTAAAGTTTAAGCTACTTCTTCCTGGATTCTTTTCTTCGTTGGGCGATGTCTTTTGACTTTCAAGAGAATTCCCTCGGTATTTCTCGTGGCAAGCCGATGTGAACTCATGCCTGTCACGACTCCGTTTCTTGTCTTTTGCTATCAGCTTTTCGATTTCGGCCTCATGTACCTCAATATCGGTAACAATTTCCTTGAGTGAGTTTTTATAGACTCGACAATCCCATAGCGATCTATTTCTGAATTTGATTATCTTGACTTTTGTGACCGTCTCCTGAATTTCGATGATCAGTGCACGAAGCTGTTTTAAAGAAATCTTGTCATTGAGATATGTCACATTTAGTTTAGCATTAACTCTTACTTGCCGATTCGGTGACTAACATATACGAATTTATTCAAACTACAATCAATATACACATATATTGGTATATTAAAATTCTTTTTTTTATTATATAGAATCTTAATCTAGAAATATGAAGACATCGATGTTTTTGTTATAAACAAACTTTCTTAATTTTTTAAAAAATTTTATCTGCTTTTTTGTAAATAATGGTGTAAATAATAATGATATAAAATATGCGAGTAAACTATAATTGCCAAATATTCTTAGATATATTTTATGATGCTTATTGTTAAAATATTGAAAACACATGATATTTTAATACAATATAAAACTGCCTATATATTGTATCTAATGAATCAGAACGTATTTGACATAGTTGAGTTGCCCTTATTTGATACAATAATTTTGAATATTGTAATAATAAAAATATAATACGGGATTAAATATGTGTATTATCCTTAAAATTATGTATGTGAATATGTGTAAACGTATATTAAAAAAACAAAGGAAAATAATGTTTTAGTAAAATTTTATCCTCAGTTGTATGCCGTGTCTAAGTCTAAATCATCTTTTATTATAGCTATATAACCCCATGTACATTATTACGCAAGTATAAGGCAAACGAAACAAAAAATCTTCCCTAAAGTTTTATGAAATAAATTTAGTTTTGAGAATAAGCTGTCACAGTTTTTGTTTGATTATTTACTACGGTCGAAGGGAAAATTCCTTGCGCGTGAGGATAGCCAAGTAATTTTGCTGCCTCGATTTTTTAGTGAGATATTGGAAGTTTCTGCTGCTGCTGTCGGTGACACTCGATTTTGCGGAGGCAAACTTTCTATCTCCACGATGCAGGAGACCCTGCAAATTTAAATTGGATTTCATTGTAATGACACTCATTGAGCCTAAATAAATTAAAAACATGTAGACAGAGACTTTTAGCGATATAGTCAAACGAGGAATTAACATATAATGGATTAGTATACTGTCACGCATAGATAAATTTCTATTCATAATATTTTATGGTACGATCCGGAAATTATAAATATACAAGATTTCACGAAATGTGTCTTACATAGAAAAACGGATAGAATTATATTAAGTGACGGAAACAAATAGAAAAGTATGACGTGCTACCCTTATAACCTCAGCGACTATTGTAACAAGCAGGAGAAGACAAATGACCGCCATGATAATATGTAATTCGCTACTTATGTTACTATTCGAAATAACGATTATATTTTGTTGCTAGATGTTTGTACAATATTCGTGCAATTGAATCCATAAAACAAATGCATGAACAGTTATCGTTGTTTAGTAATAAAGAACTTTATTATTACGGACACAAAATAACATAAAGCAGAGTAGATACACACAATATTTTTCTTTATCCATATAACCCATAAATATATGGGTACACATGGGTTTACACATACACGAAGAAACTTGGAGCGTCACGTCGTATGAGCGATTTAATTTCGTTGCAACGGACGATGCATTAAAACTCGAGGAGAACAGCTACCCATATCGTCGGCCGGGTGTAAAAACTGGCTTTATTTATCAAAGCTGTCGTCACGTTGACAGTTTTCATTAAGCCTCATAAAATATTGACTGTGGCTTGGCTGATCTGAAATTAAGCGAGCGGATCGGGTAACAGTCAACTGTTTGTTGCCAATACAATTCAACGGTAAAATTTGTAAACGATAATCGTGTAAAATATGTGGCGCATTAAATGCGTAAATTGTCTAATGGGATCGGATGTAATAATTTACCGAAATTAACGTTGCGAGATGATTCGACCACGAGAGACCAAATAATCGTGACATGTGTGATATAATTTTCAGAAAATTAACGTTAATATTATTCCGATTGTTTCAACATATCGTAAAAACATAATATTGTTGTATTAAATATACGAAATAACTACCCTCCGGATAAATTTTTGAAAAGTAAGAAATTAAATTATTAATAATATAATTTGCTGTCACGAACAATCCTTCGATCCTTAAAATATCATTTATGTGCGCTAGATCTCATTTTAAAGGACACTAAGATTTTTGTTTTTATTCAGTTGTTCACATTGTATGTTACATTGTAAATTTAAATTATATATTGTATTCCGTCTTATTTATTCTGTTCGATGCTACGATGAATCAGTCGGGATCATTTAATGTCTACAACTGCAGAATAAGATCATATCATTCTTGGCGAATTTATGAGGTGTCGCGACATTTTGTAATTTGCAGTTTTATGTGACTGCGCTAGGTTCTGACAATTTTGTGTGAAATGTAACGTTCGCCGACAACTTCGGACAGTTTTTGTTAGCTTATATATTTAAAGATTTACATGAAACTGAGTCTATTTAGATATTGTTTGTGTTATCAAAACGGAAGTATTACAAATAAATTGAACATAAATGATTTAATCTAAGTCAATCATTATTTGTGATAATTTAATATTAATTATACGTTTGCTAACTAATTTTATGTTACTATATTATTATTTTGTCAATAAAAATTTAAGTATATCAATCATAATTAACTTAATTTTGTATGGCCGTATATTTATTAACCATGAACATATTTTTTCAATTACGATATTAGAACTTTATGCAATTATTGTGTGAATATATTTGTAACAATTGTTCGTTTACCGACATTAATTATTTATATCCTAAAATATCATTAACGACCACATGAATATTTCAATTACTATTTTATATATTTCTTAATATCTTATTGCAAAATTATAAAATATTAAGATGACTAACAAATATTACAAATTTCTGTTTCAGCCAACCATTTTCGGGACAGTAGCCTCGGACTTAAATCCCAAAGATGGGAACAGCCGAAAGGTGAGTGTTATTTTTGAATTCTTCTTTATTATTTCATCGGCTGCGTAATAACTAACATTTCAAGAGGAAACGATTCAAAGAACGGTAACGAGGAATCATTTTTATGTCAGACAACGTCTAGTCCCGAGAGGAATTTTCATCTTTTCACGCTACATCACCCCAGGGATCTTTCCGAGAACCGTAATGAGTAAAAATTGCTGCTAAGTCTCTGGCTCCGCTCTGCTAATCGTCCCGAAATAGAGCGGCTGGCTGCTCTAATTAAAAGTAACAGCGCTACCAAGTGGTCTACCCTATCCGGTGGTTTTCTCTCTCTCTCTCACGGGGTCCTAACGTATTAAACCTCGCAAACTTTCCCTTTTTCGACCGCAGGCCCACTTATGCGACATCTCTCGTCATTGTAGAATTATACATAATGAACGTATAATGTTTTTATGATAATATTTCAGTTAAATGTCGACATTAATCAGCTTAAGCGTGTCGTTTCAAAATTTTTACATAACAATAATAGTAATAATGCAATAATATTCTAAAATTTGAATTTCTTAAATTTCTCTACTTGTAAAATTATCATCGTAATATATGTTACCTAGTATCTTTTTTTGTGATATGTATAATCTACGAGTTTATTGATGAATTTCTAACTGATATTTTAATTTAACAAAATTTGATTGCTCGTTATCATTTGTTTTCAAGTTACGAGATATTTCAAGAAAGAATAAAGTTTCCGAAGAAGAGACTAGGTGTCTTTTGCCACATTTCTGTAGTATTATTCCTAGTAGTAGGAGTTATTCATGCTAATTGTAAGCAATCCGTATGTCGGACATAATATACTATTACGCGTAACAAATGCTTATTACGTGTAGAGATGCTAACAATGTGAAGATAAATGTTAATACACATGTATTATTAGCTTTATGGTAATTAAGTCCACTTTGGCACACAATAATATCATTAAATACAACGAGGTACTGGTTCTAGATTATATCTTTACTATCTATTGTAATACTATGTTATATCAATTAGGTACATTAGGTTTGATTTACTCAGTTGTTAATTCTGTTTTCTCCGGTAGTAATTGTAAAATTTATAATAATTTTTGGTTGTTTGTCGATATTGATCTGAATATTTAAACGGTCGGAATATCAACTTTATTGTCAATATCATACAGCTTTATCATAACATTTTTTTTCCATGCGTAGTAGCAATTTACAATTACAAATTACAATCTCTAGAAGCGAGGGAAATAAAAATGTACTATTTACAATTAGATTATATCGAAGAATTAATCAAGGCTTCTATGAATACGTTGAAAATGATTATCCTGCACTGCTTCATTGTGAAGTACATACATATTAATCGCACCATTAAACACACCCCAGTCCGACATGCCATATTTCTTAGAAACAAGCCATGAACATTTCGCGTGCTCCATTGAACGGAGATCATCTGAGATATTTGATTGCGGTATTAAAGGCGATAGACATATTTCGAGGAGTTGGAGGACGGTGTACGAAGGCAAAAAGATGAATTGGCAAAAATGATGGCGCTCAGATTCCCTCGCTGTGCGCATCTTGCTAGTGGTGTAGCGAATCGTTGCGGATTTATATGTTCACGTACTGTGATTACATCCGCGACACAGTAGCACACCATTTCGGTGGAATGTGTTCGACGCGATGGAAGAGCAAGCACGTCAGCGGTCAGGCGAGGCGCGCGGCACAACACGATTAATACAAAACTACCAACTAATTTTGGATTTAGTTAAGGCAACTGGATCGTGTGACATGGTGCGGAAAAATTTCCGGAAAAAAAAGAAACGTGCGAATTACGCTTGACACGTTTGAAAAAGTAATGCCGCCCTATTTTTGCTCGCTATTTAATTGTGCGTCCCTCGCGCTATCGCGCGTGAACTCAATTTATTAGCGTACAGGGAATACTTTGGACTGCGTTGCGCGTCACGGACGGGTAATTAATCGCAGCCTCTGTTAATGTACCTGTATTAATGCGCATGCCAATTAGATTCGGTGGTAGTAGTTCGATATACGTATATATATCGCTGAACGAGGTATAAATCCGCCGTAAGTTATGGGGCCCGTGTAATTTTCAGTATGCGAACGATTTGCGAACGACTTGTAAGCGGACTTGAATCGATATTTTAGCGTCGCGTGAATGGAGAAAATTACGCAGTCCATTTAGATATTGCGATAAAGTACAAAAGAGTCCGAGTACTTTTTGAATTACATATGAATCTCACATTAATAAGAATGAGAAAGATATTCAAGCCAGATTTAGAAATAAAGCCTCTCTGTCTCTTTCTCTCGCTCACACTCGCCCATTCGCGCAAACCCTCATCCAATTAATTATTTAATCTAATTGTATAGGGCGCGCCATTGTCGGAGTATTTCAAGCCGCTAGCACTTTGTTCTCGTGTGATTGCAATTTTCCCTTTTGTGACCCATGCAGCGAATTTTCGTCGTCAGCGATTCATCGTGCGCCGCTCAAAGCGCTTTTCTCTCGCGGTTGCACGAGGGTCTCCCATGTCGTGAAAATCGCGTCAGTCGCGAGGGATTCTTTTATCCTTGCAGGTATAGGCACGAACGAGATTGTCGCGTGATGTTAGATGAAAATAAGAGCGAGAAGAGTGTCGAGAGAAGAATGACGAGAGAGATGAAAAGAAGAATGAAACGCGCGCCGAGTGAAGCAAGGGATTCAATGAAAGATTTCTGTCATGTTTACTGGCGGTAAATATTGCTGATGGCAGGAAAGGAGTACCGGCGCTTGTTTGGTCATGAATATAAATGTCTCTCTTACTTCGATATCAGATTCGTGTATGATAGAGAGGCGGAAAACGTATATATACGAGTTTTGTCACTGTAGTAACGTACGTATGAGTGATTAGTTTCGCGTTTTCTCCTAGATAAAATATTAATTCTTTTTCAAACTCCAAACATCGCCATTCGGCAAAATATTAATATATTTTTAGTTTGGAAAATGGATAAATTATTTATTTACGTACATTCCAAGTGAATGAGAGGTGTGCTGAATTAGACCAGAAAGGAAAAGGCAATTCGCATTGAATGGAATATTGATGAAAATATCGTGGATTTTAGAATATGCCGATGATATTAATCGGAAATATGATACCTTCGTTCTCTTTCACTACGCACAATATACTTTGTGCCATCCATTTCCATATCACGTGTATTTTTCGTGAATTTTAACATTAATTTAACGAATTCGTCAAACTCTTTGACGAGAATAAACTCCCACAAAGTCAATTAGTCTTGTTTGACTGTAGGTAGTTATTAGTACTTTCAGCAGCACTTTGATATCCATGTAATTACGCAGTATGAGCTTATATAGACGGAGCAATTTAGAACTTCAGAGCGTTAGAAAGTCTTTTTAGTAAGTGCCATAAAGCATAGATGGATTAAAGCAAGTATCATCTTTGTTAATTAACTTCATCTACTACATCACATTAAATTTGCGAAACAAATTGTTGCTTTACAATTACTTCTTATATTTGACAATTATGTTTCGAATACAATTTATAAGACTTGTAAATCCGTCAATAACACACATAATATGTAAGAGATTAAGAAATTACCATCTATTGCACATAATTATGTCATTAATTTCCGATACGCAGAAATGCCATGTCAATTATTGGAACAATCCAATTTTTTACCATAGTACATTTTTCGTATAAGTAAATGGTAAAATGATTAAGAATAATTCTATTTTCAAAATTTGCATTAACACTCGACAATCATAAATTAGGAGAAAGCGCAGACCGCGGACAATGGCGGAAAAGTACAAGGCATTCTACGAAGATTCCGATCGTGTAGATGGATCATAAAAGACGCTATTGTCTGCCGGGAGTCCCCCATTCCGGCCATCGCGCGACTGGCCGAATTATCTTTATCTCTTCCGTCTAATAACGACTCGGTACGCTCCGGAATTAGAATGGTAAACGTGGGGAATGATAAAGCGAGTCTTTAGCGCCGTTAACGAAAAATGCCCCGTGGCGTTGCGGCGCGGCGGGTTACATCGCCGAATGGCATACGCGAACGACAACAATAGTACGACCCCATAACGTTAAGAGCTTTTATGATCCAGAGCGTAGAAATCGGATAAGCTGACACAAAGTAACGAGTTTCCTAAAGTTGCTCCTATGAATGGGATGTCCGCTTACCAGCCGACTTACAAAGGATAAAAAGATTAAGTGAAATATTGAAAGTATAACATTGCACACTAGAAATGCAATTGGCAGACGTTAACAATCGGCGACAATGTTGGATAAAATTAATACATTTATATGAGATAGCACAGAAATGTCGGGGGGGGGGGGGGCAGATTAGAAGCCGGGAGCTTTTCTTCGTGCATATTGTATGTTTCATGCTTTTATCGCGTAATAAACGGATGAATGAAAGATCGATGCGTCGATATGTTCTCGGTGTTATCGCGCGCGGACAATGGCCAGATTGGATGAAAAAAATATGCAGCCTGCTGGAATAGTCGTGTGCCTGTAAATTTTCGCGCTAGCGGTATAAATTCGCGGGATGTCGAAAGCGGCGCAGTCTCGTTGGCTTTTGTGCGCCTCGTCGATTTTTATTTAATCTTGACTACCGTGAAAGGAACGCGTGCGCGTTTTTTTTTGCGCGATTATTTTCCAGAAATTTGTCATCACATTCTGATTTTAACGTGTGTGTCCTACGGGAGAATATCTCCTTTAATCGAATTGAAATTGTACATTTTCAAATAAGAGACGAACACGCGTTTCGTGCGTTTCCCGACAGAGACATAGTAAATATAGACTGAGCGTCCCATTGAACAAGCTGAAGCTTGTGAAGAGAGAGACAGAGAAGATTTAAGAAGACTTTTTGTCTGTCTTACACCATCGTAACAAGGGAGAATCACGCCTACGTAGTACTGTGCAGGCACGATTCTTTTCTTTTACGATGGTATAAGACAGAGAACAAAGTCTTCTTAAATCTTCTCTC